GGAAAGTGACCTGAGATGACATGATGTGAATTGGTGCTATAGAAATACACTGAATAGAATTAAATAAAACTTGAAGCAATCTGACTGGATGGGCTAATTGGTCTGGATCTATGAAGTGACCTGAGATGACATTTATTGTGAATTGGAGCATAGAAAGAATTTTATGCTCTCAAAGATAATAAAGTAAATTGGAAAGTCCTGATTAAGTTTAATTCTTTTTTCACATGAATATTAAATCAATGAGGAGTCACTGTGTGTGAAAACCATTTCCAGACCAAAGCCTGTGTATAACGTCGATGTGTCAGCTGCTGTCATGTTTGTTATCACTGATGATGTCATCATGTGGACGTGGTCACCTTGCAGCTCTGGCTTTTGATTGGACAGAATCTGGTAGTAGATGTGGTAGCTTCTCTCTCCTGGTTGCTGAAACACGACTCTGGATTTTTCCAGAAGATCTGAGGGAATAAAGGTTGAAATCATGACCTGCATTGTTTTTTATGAATCTGAGAAATATTCTGGGTAAAATGATAACTTCCTGCTCACTGGTTGCATAGTTTGGCAGCAGAGGATCTAGAAGCACTACAAGCTGCATACATCATAAAATCTAGAGCTGCTGTGTAATAATCCAACTCACAGATGTTGACGTCGGCAGAAGCCAACTTCCCACTTGGACCAAAATGAATCCTGATGAACTTTCCCTGGAATACCCAATCAGAGACAACCATCAGGACCCAGCAGCAACCACCCATCAGCAACCTGTCATTGGCCGATCAGATAACTGGACTCACAAAGCGAGACGAGTTGTCGTTCCGGATGGTTTTGGCATTTCCAAATGCCTCCATTGCTGGATTGGCTTCAACGATCTGGTCCTCTAAGGAGCGCTGAGGGAAGCAGAGTCCAGCAGGCTGCAGGAAACTCAGCTGAACACAACAAGATGCCACTGAAGGGCAACAAAAACAAAGTACTTACTTCTCTCTTCACATTTCCTCCCAGAGCAGCAACGGTTGCTAGGTACTGGATCACCCTCTTGGTGTTGACAGTTTTTCCTGCTCCGGACTCTCCGCTGATGAAGAACGCAGAGAAACAGGAGCGGTCTGAAGGTCAGGAAGGCGGTTCTACTGCTGATTTCCTGATGTGTTTACATGATGCTGAATGGTGAGAAAACCAACTGTCTTCCTCTAAATTAATTGATTAAAGTGTTTCTAAGGCCAACATGGCAGCCATCAGGGGAGTGCTCCATCTTATTCTGACTCTTTTTCAATCAAACACCAGGAGCTCCCTCCCCGTCATATAATGGCTTTACAATTTAATTATGGCGCCCCCTATTGACTGATTATATTTTGTTTTTACACTTTGCTAAAATAGCCAGAAAGGTCAGCATTTCTGCAGCAGAGGGATAAACAGGAAAAAGTCTAGATGAGGAAGCCAGTAAAGCTGATGGTTAGGGTCAGTCAGTACGGCCAGCAGGTGGCAGCACTGTACAAATGTTCACGTCTGCTGATCACACCCAGTGGAAAATTATTTTATGGATCAAAACGAACAAAGTAAACATTTTCAGGATCAAAATGAGGTGTAAATTGTTTTATATCAAGATGGCAAATTTATAGATTTGGTGTTTTTTTTGAAAGGACCTAATCTCAGCTCAAGCAGCTAAGTTTTAGGACCTGCTGTGATACAAAGCAGCTTCTACATGAGACTCCTCAGGGAGAGCAAAGACAACATTGACTTCTTTCCTCAACCATTGCTCCCAGTGAGGATTCATGAGCTGTAAAACACACTTTCTGCTAAATTTCTCTCTGGGTTTGCAGAGCAAAGACTGGAACTATATGGATCTATGGCCTTTAATCCAGGCCATCCTAACATTCAGCAACACAGCCTGCGCTAAGATTTCCTGAACTTTGGTGATGCCTCACCTTTCCAAAATGATCAGCATGATTACATGTCTGGAAAAATCAGGAGAAATGTTTCCAACAAAAGAATTGGGGTTTTAGATGATTTTTATGTTTTAACAGTCATGCAAGCTAAAAATAAGCTAAAGGTATGCCACGCTGACATGTTTTAAGAACATAAAGCTCCACAAACTGTTACTTCACCAAGGGATTAAACACTAATATAATATTAACATGTATATGTTTCCTCTCATGCTTATTGCATTTAATTGTTTAAATATGTCCAAAGAGTCCGTTAAGATGAGTCCCCTCATGTCTGCTAGCTTCTAGCTCCGTTTGTCACGACCTGATCTGTAGCATCAGCCCATTTCTGCATCCAGAAATACATCCAGATTCCCCTCCATTGTGCTTTAGAAAAATAACTTCTTTCTCTCTAATTATAATAACTGTACAAAACTATAAAGTGTTAATAATACCTGCATTTACAGGCTTTCTGTTATATTACTCGTCTGTGCCGTTGTCCAGGAAACAGGATCCTACCCTCAGTCAGAAGCTGGCATCGGATATTTCGGTTAATAGAGTCATTTTGTTTTGCATATAGTGCAAAATCTAAGGAAAGCCCAAATAAAATGCAAGTAATCATATTTTGCCAGACTGCTCTGTCCCATGATGATGTCAGACCAGCAAATTAATGGTGAAAATGTAAAAAAGCATGAAATTCTCTCAGAAAAGCCTTTAAAAAGTTTTATAGGATACAGTTTAGCATCGTTTGGTGATTTAATAAAATAAATAACTACTTACTGAACCATAATGACATTATTTGCAGTAACTTGGATGAATATCTGCTCACACACAATGAGCTGAGATTAAATAGTGAGACTAGCTAAGCCTAAGGAAGCTAGCTGGTCCTTTAACTATTCTCTCAGGAATAGATCATCTAAAGGTTACTGATTTCCTGTTAAGGTTAATCTTTTTTTTAACCAAATAATGTTTTATTTTCTTCTTGGATTTGCATTGTGAATTGGTTTGAACACTTTCTAATCGCTCTAAGTTAGTTACAAGCTAATCTGGCTGCTGGTGAAGAGTCTCAGTCATCCGGGTCAGACTCATTCCAAAAAACTTAAAATCAATCCACTGGACTTTGTTTCCAAGTTTGAAGATGTTTCTCTTCCCATCCAGGAAGCTTTTTCAATTCAAAATGTCAGAAATAGTGTTTAGTTCCAGGTTTTATAGAGTGGACCAAAAACAAAGCCTTGTTTTGATGGGCACCAGAGAGGATGACGAGGACAACAAGCTACCCTTCCTGGTCTGTCTGGTGAGCATGGAAGGAGATGGAAGCCTAAACATAGAAGTCTATAGGAAATCCAGTACCTTCTTTCTGACTCCCACCCCCCACTGGAACACAAACTGTCAGTCATCAGAACCTTCCAGCAGCAGAACATGTCCCTACTAGAACAGAAACATCAGAGATGCTCTCCAAACCTGTGGAGACCAAAACTGGACGAAATCCCAAAGACACACAGCAGAACATAACGGTGAGAAGATCACACAAAAAAACTAAATCCCAGATGTTGCTGGAGTCTCTGAAAAACTCAGGAGGATTTTCTCCAAATAAATCCCAGAACCTTTCAAACCAAACAGACCCTGAAACAGAGACTAGTTCCTCCTAAAGACCTAATCTGAGCAGAGTGTCTGCAGGTCAATGCAGGGAGGAATGATCTGATCTATTGGAGAAACCAAACAACCTCTCCACAGACGCATGGCCCAACACAGAAGAGCGCCCTCCTCTGGACAAGACTCTGCGCTACATCTACACCTGATGGACGGAGGACATTCTCTGGAGGACCAGAATGTTCACATTTTGGACAAAGAAGACAGGTGGTTTGAGAGGAAGGAAGCATCTATGTTAAGAAAGAAACACCAACCTTAAACCGGGGGGGGGTCCCTTTTAACGACCCCCCTTTCAGAGACATAGACAGGTATGGGGCATTGCAGGCTAACAAAGAAGCCAAACCACCCCCATTCCAAAGGGGGGGACCCGTTCATCCGTTTCTATTTGCATGTTTTCTAAACTAAAACCAGGCTTTGTTGGGCTGCTGGATAAAACCTGGAACTAAACGCTATTAGACGTCTTCAAACTTGGAAACAAAGTCCAGAGGATTGATTTTTAACTTTTTTGGAAAGAAAGCTACTCTGACCTCATTCTAAAAAACTCCTTTAGATAAACTCTAGTTCTCAAATAAAATCCTTGCTGAGCTGTGATGTCACTACATTATTTTATTATTATTAACTTTATCATTTTTAAATCCAAACAGTGCAGCAATAAAACAGCTCTTCTCCTGAGAAGAGGAGCAGTGAGTCAGACTTACGTGATGAGCATCGACTGGTTCTCTCGATCTGTGGAGAAAGTTAAACCAAGTGAGTAAATGATGCTCTGATCTTTCTGGTAAAAGGTCACAAGAATAAAGTAATTTGGTCTGAGATATCCTAATTGATTGAACTTATTGGTGGAAATAACTGAATGATCTGCTTTCATCTTAGGCAGACATCTTTCCCAGAAAAAGCTTCAGTTTGATTATATTAAGACTGAAAGTCCAGAGGATTTTCCCACAGGAGAACAATAAAGTCTGTTTCTATGTCGTCAACAACTGATTTCCTGCTTAGCAGAGAACAGGTCTGAGTTGGAGGCCACTCACTTATTAGCAGGTCGCTGTAGGCATTGTCAGCTACAGCGTAGATGTGGGGGGGCATGTCTGCATAGCGCCTCCCTTTATAGGCTGTAACCACGGCTGCAGAGTAAACCGGCAGCCATTTGTAGGGATTCACCGCCAGACAGAACAGACCGGAGTACGTCTGAAAGGAAAAGGTTTCTGATTATTTGGCCATCTCACAGGTCAGGCTCTAAAAGGTCTCTGTGACACTTGCATAGATCATCCACATGCTGTATCTCCTCCGGAGGTTGAAGAGCACTGCAGGTTCATTTAGATGGGTCAGCATGGCCATGTCCTCCATCATGTCAAACTTCGGAGGGTTCAGCGGCTGCAGCTCATTTTCTTTAACGACCAGAAACTGAAACCAGAATCTTCAGTCAGAACTGAAACTCGTTTTTCTCACCTTAGAGGTTTGGAAAATGGAATTAGATCAGCAGCTGATGGGAAGGTTTAACCTGTCTATTTCCTACAGGTAGTGAGAAAATGTGTCTACTCCCATTGGCTTCCATTGATTGATCATTTTCAACCCTTCCTCTGCCTTAACCCTAACCTAACCCTAACCTAACCCTAACCATTACCAGTGCATACATCACCCTCGTAAAACTAAACTCAGTTTAAACCTCAGCCTTAAACCTAAAGGTTAAAATAATTACTCATGAGAATAATAATAATTATAATACATTTGATGTAAAAGGCGCCTTTCTGGACACTCAAGGTCACCATACAAGATAAAAACAGAATAAAAACCATTTAAAAATACAAAGGCTGGGAAAGTGATAGTAAAGAGAATCTTAAAAAGAAGAGTTTTCAGTTGTGGTTTGAAATGGAGAACTGAGTCCGTCTTTCTAAACAGGGCTGGTCCAGGAAGGGGGGGGGGGG